GGTTCACTGTCATATCTCATGGATTCAGGCAGAACAAGTGACCTCTTGTCCCAGGGGCCCGTGGGGTGATATCATCCCTGGTTTAAATCACTTTAAAGTAAAATACTGTATTTGTTACCTGAAGGGGCTCCAGGAAGGCTGGGGAGGGACTTTGGCCAAGGGCAGGGAGTGACAGAACAAGGGGTGATGGCTTGAAAGTGGCAGAGGGGAGATGGAGATGGGATGTGAGGAAGAAATTCTTTGGTGTGGTCAGGTATCACATAAGCACCTACGGTTTGGACAGATGAATACAACAATGAGTAGCTGGGACATTAAATTACAGATTAAATTCAGCACCAATGAATGTACAATGAAAGAACAAGGCGATGGGGGGGTTGGGAGTGGATGAGCTTTAAGGTCCCTTCCAACCCAAACCAGTCTGGGATTCTATATCACCCCAAATTAGGTGCCAGTTTTAAATTACTCAGCGCCAGAAGACACATTCTTAGAATATTTTGGTGCTTCCCTTGGGAAAAGGAAACGTTTAATGCCATAGAATCATCAAATAGTTTGGGTTGAAGGGGCCTTTAAAGGTCCATCTAGTCCAACCCCCCTGCAGTGAGCAGGGTCATCTCCAACCAGATCAGGTTGTTCAGAGCCCTGTCCAGCCTGGCCTTGAATGTTTCCAGGGATGGGGCTTCTATCACCTCTCTGGGCAACCTGGGCCAGGGTTTCACCACCCTCAGTGTAAAGTTTTTTTCCTTCTATCATCCCAACTCAAATTTAAGTCATCTGGGACTTCATAAGAAGCATATTATTATGGAGCTAGTGTCACAGCCCAGGCAAGGAGGATGGATTTTCTATTTCACCAGTATCTCATTTACAGAATAACTGGTCTAAACCATTTCTTCCCATTTCCAGACATTTTGTTATCCTTCAATGAGGAAATGTATTTGTTTTCTTCTCATCTCTACCCCGTTATCATCACAGGCAATTCAGGGGGATGCTGGTGGAACACCTCCAGCTCTGTAAATGTACGTCCAGCTGGTTAGGATGGTTTGCCCGGCTGCTAGGGGAGGACATTGTGTTTTCTGTGTACTTACGTTTTTCCAGACCATGTTCTGTTCTCTTTCCAAAGACCTTTTCCCTAGTTCAGTTGACAACAGCTGTTGGAAAGCTCCTCCCCGAGGGAGGAGAGAAGACATCATTGATTTTGAAGAGTAGCTTCACAACATTAAAACAAAACAGGAGTGGTGCTGCTGTCAGCCGAGGAAGGGTCTGGAGGTGAGAGCCGTTGGCAAGACACGCACAGGGCTTTGCAGGATGTTTACCCGTTGCCTGCCTTGGTGGTCATCCAGTGCTATCTGCAAGCCGTGGCAGTCAAGTGGCTTTCTGCCTCGTTTCTGGGAGAGGTGCCAACCACCAGTTTGTGAAGGAATCAACACGACCGCGGGGCAGGCGCAACAGGTCGGCGCGCAGGAGAAACAAGTATTAGAAGATCTGGAAATGCCCCTTGCAAGGAGAGAAACCGAGACCCTCTTCCAAGAACAGCCTGAGACTGGGAACCAGTATTTGGAAGATGCTTTGCTTCAGAGTTACTTGAAAACACACCTTCCTCCCAAGGTCTGGCGTGCATGTTTGTGTTTCTGTGTGTACACGCTACAGTTCTGGCTGGGTCACTGTTTAAGACTGTGAACTGAACATTTCTCTGAGCCCTTTTGTGCCTTTGAGCATTTAACTTGAGGGAATTTATTGACATTCTTTAAAACTTTTTGAATCAGTGCAGGGGTGAAAACTTCTGCTGAGACATAAACAGAAATAGAAAGGGCTTGGTTGGCTTGGGTGACTGGGTGTTGCACCAAGAGTGTTGTTTTGGGGTTGTCAGTGTGGGTGTTTGTTGTGTGGTCATCCAGAGTAAGAAATTTCAGAGAAAGTGAAAAAACTAAGATACTTACAAACTCTGCTGTGCAAGTCCACTTCTCCCCCCGAGGGAAGGGGGGCTTTAAAGGAAATTCCGTTATGAAAGAACGTGGCTGTTCTCAGCTGAGCACTGAAGAGGCTGCAGAGGCCCGTTGGGGTTTGCATGTTCTCAGCACAGGTTGTTGGCTTTTCTGGGTTGATTTTGAGACAGCAAAGGCTCTGTAGGGGTGCAGAGAGGTGGGGTAAGACCCTGAGCTATGGGTCTCTGTTCTGTGAGGTACAGTCCTATAGGAACCCCTGGGAGGAGGCAGCTCATCTCACGGTCCTCTGCTGTCACCTCAAGGACCACAGCTGTTTCCCACTTTTCAAGGACCATGTCTCTTGGAGCAGGCTGTGACCCTCTCTCCTTGACTTATTCCAGCAGAAGCAATGTGATGACGTGTAAAGCCACTGGGTGGGTAGGGGGACAGAACCTGGCTTTTGGTGATGCTCTTCTTGCTTGCTTGCTTGCTCTCTAGGTAGTAAGAGTGTGGTGGCAGCATTGGGAACTTGCTTTTGTCACAGCCATCCTGAAAGACAGGAATTTGGCTTCTCTAAGCACTGCTGCAGCCTTCTTGCCAGAAGGGAAGATGGGGGAAAGGAGGATGACTTTGAGCAACTGTGAAGATCTTGCTCCTCATCTGCACCTTTGGAAGAAGCATGATTCAGATCTCCGAAAGAATAAAAGGATCAGTGATGTCTTTTGCCAAGGTTGAGGGCTGCTCTCCACTTCTTACTCAAAGAGACAAAGCATCTGCAAAATCTACCAGAGAATCAGCAGCATGTCCCTTACGTTTCTGTGCTTGGTCCCAGCGGGGCAGTGTTGCCTCACTGCTGAAAGGGAGAGCTCCGTCTGCTTCATGCAGCACCTGCTTGCTGCAGCCTGAAGCTGCCTCTCCATATGAGCACCTTCATCTCCAGGAGAGCAGCCACAGATGGTGCTTTGTGTGTCCCACCGAAGCAGACACCACGCTGGAGGTTGATTCGTGTTGTACTGTTCACCTGGGTTCAGTGGTGAACACAGAAATTTTCCTGGAATAGAGCAAAAGGTTTCTTTGTTTGAAGGTGATTTCTGGAGAACACAGAAGAAAGCACCTGCTTTTTTGAGCACTGTTGTGGAGGGCTATCTCTTGGTCTGCGATGGCCCTGAAAATATGTCCTTTAATAGAAAGGATTATCTGTTTGCACTCTTAATGTGCAATGATTTGTGCATTTCCAATATATTAATCCCTAGGACATCAAAGGACAGATTAGGCTGAATGAGACCACCCAGCAGATGCTGGTAGGTAGTGCCCTCAGCCCTGCAGATGCCCTCTCTGTTTCCTGGTGTACATTTTTTGGCATGCCCAGATTTCTCTGTGTTCCATTCAGCAATCACAAATGTAGGAGGTCTGATTTTGTTCTTTTACCTTGGAAATAAACACATTCACTTGGGTAACGTGGTGGTTTGTAAGGCTACAAACCAGGGCATGAGCTCACAGCCAGGCAGTCAGGGCTTTTTTAGAAAACATGGCTGAGGTGAAGGGTCTCTTGTAGTTTGAGTTCGCTGTAGTGTGCTGACCAAGAGACCTATTTGGTCAACTCACATTCTTCTGCCTACAAAAAACTACCAGATAAACAGTTCAAAGGTTCTTGTGCTTCAGGGATCAGCAAAATCCATGAACCTTGGATTCCTAGGTTATGCCTCTAAAGTAATCTTCAACTTGTTGTCAAGATATGATAGGTGTTGGAGGTGTACGCCCATCCTAGCTGAGCTCCACCGACAGCAAAGAGGAGTGCAGCGTGAGCTGTACCGGGTGGCAGGGCTCTCATACATGGTTTGGGCTTGTTTTATGCTTTTTGAAGCTGAGTATTTCACTGTTCACCTGAAGGAAAACGGGCTGGACTGAGGATGGAGACTTCCCAAGTACTAACTGGAGAGTGAGCGTGGGATCCTCGTTACACACGCTGAACGGCAGAGTGATGAAAGAATCAATCGGATGGGTTGTAGTTTAATGAAAAGTCAATACAAGGGGAAGCAGGGAAAGGAAGAAGCCATGTTTGTATTTAATCAACAGCACATTAATGTGTTTTATAATTGCACCATTTTGGGTACCACAACTATGGCATTTGCCTCTACAATCGTTGTATTGAGGAGGAATTTAGCATCTCTTGAGGGGGTAGAGAACAGCAAAAAATATTCCTCTGATGAAAGATGAGGCGCTTTTGTGACCTTCATTACAATCTTGGAGGTGTTTATGCTAGTGAGAGTCCAACAGTGCTAGAGGTTGAGTCCACTTGGCCTAATTTTAATAATCTATGTCAAGCTATTCAAGTCTAGGGAACCTCACTAGGCTTTGGCCACAGTGAAGAGCACTGAGACCTTAAAATAGGTATGGAAGAGGGTTGGAATGAATCCCACCTCTGTGGGTGCTGGTTTCTCTCCATTAACTATGGACGGACTACTCCGTGCACGTCAGCCAAACTTGGCTGAAAGGAGAGCACGTGAATCCTTATCCAGGGCCATTCAGGAAGCTGGATGCAGGGTGGAAATTTGCACCTTGACACCCTGGGTGCCAGGCTGAAGCTCAAATGATTGCTCCATCCCTCCTCTTCTGATCTGATAGGCAGGTAACTACTGAGCCCAGTGGAATCTTTCCTGTACAGATGAAGACTTTCCAGTTTTGGCAGCTCTTCCCTCCCCTTGCATTCTTCTCCAGCAGTAAAGCACAGAGTGGCTGAGGTTGGAAGGACCTCTGGAGATCATAGAATCACAGAATGGTTTGGCTTGGAAGGGACCTTAAAGATCATCTAGTTCCAACCCTCCTGCCCCAATCATATTTTCCAACCTCCTTGCTCGTGGGCATCTGTGTCTTTCTCAGCCCTGATACAAAAGCTCTTCTGCCTTTTTGTAAATCCAGAGATGCTGCTAAAAGGAACTTGAAAAAAAACTTCTTTTTTGGGGGTGGAGACGGGGAGGAGTGATAGCTGAGCAGAGCTGTGCCAGCAGAGGCTAAGAGACAAGCTGTCCTGTCGCATTACAGAATGCCTGGAAGGGCCAAGTGGCGAGAGACCGTTGGCACCACAGGACAATACGGTCAGTCCTCTGCTGAGGACTGGGGCTCCTTCCCTTCCAGGGGTGTGCTGAAGGGCTCTTCTTGTTCCTTCACAGATACTAGAAGAGGTGAATCAGGACCTGGAGAGATTTGGAAACCGTCTGCTAACCAAGATCCAACCTCTAGCATGGGAGTGCGAGTTGAACCCCCCTGTGTTTCGGCAGTACGATGCCTGGGGGCGGCGGGTGGATCACATCCTCACCTGCTCAGCCTGGAGAAGGATGAAAGAGATTGTGGCAGAAGAAGGGCTGATTGCTGAGGCCTATGAGAGAAGATACTCCAGCTGGAGGTAACTGGGAGAGAATGGGAATGACTTGGTGCCTTGCTGGTGCCTTGCAAGGTATATTGAGCATCTTGTAGGACTGAACTTCTTGTTGTATAATGGGTAACAGATGATGCATGGACAAAAGCACACCTACCGCTGTACCCAGCAGCAGTGTCTGTCCGCTGTGATGTTCCACATCAGCAATGATAAGCTGTAACTAATGGCCTACAGTTGATCATAATATTCTTTGATGTCACCTTCCTGATTCTGGGGCCTGGCAGTCCCCTGTGCTGCTCCAGCTTTACATGCATTAGTTGTAACACAGCTAAAGAACTGGGATTTTACTTGTATTTCGTTGTGTTCCAGTCTCTGGAGACAGACCCACATTTCTTATTTTTAAGAACAGCACTTAACATGCACCGGCTGGCAAGCAGTGCCTTCCACCCAGCCTTGCACTGGCACTCCCTCTGGGACCCAGAAACTCTGCTGCTCCTCTTCTCCCTTCCTGGCTCAAACAGTTTTTGCCCTCTCAGTTTTTGCCCTCTCAGAAATGAGTGGTCTGGTTCTCAGCTGTTTTTGTTGTATTTTGTTCTTATCTTCCTTAGTCGAGGTGTTTTATTCTCCTGCTGTTGAGCTGCTGCATCACCAGTCTGTTTTCCCTCCTTTCCTTTCCCAGCCGTCTGCATCAGGCTGTCAAACTGTACTTATTTTCAAGCTCCTCTGGAGGTTTCAGCTGTCCACTGGCCATGACTGATGGGGCAGCCAGAGTCATCGAGGTATGAGCTCAGCTGGTCTCTGAGGGCACAGCCCACGTCCTGGCCATGCTGGTTAGAGACTGGAGCACCAGCCAAGGCTGGAGCAGAGCTGATCTGCCATCTGGCTTGGGGCATGGCCCTTCCTTGCTCTGTGATTCAGCTCCATCTCCCACCGCATTTCTCCTTTAGTCACAACATCTTTGTGCCCAGACTGGCTTTTACGTTTACTTACAACACGGTGTACAATGAGGCCTTTACTGAACATGAAACCTGTGGCACTGCAGGTAACTGGAAAAGTGTCCCATAATTTTTTTACTGTGAAGTAGTTTGTTTTCCTCCCTCCTGTTAATGTTAAATGTATTGGGCCAGATCCACACCTGGTGTAAATTAACCAAGGCAGCAAGACTTTGGCAATCTGACGATTCGGCTCTGTGTCTTGGCAATAACCCTTGGCATTATGTAACTGGCTCTGGAGGGCACAGAGAAAAGCTGTCCCTTAAGGAGCTTGCCCTGGGCATTTTAATTCAATAAAAAGAAAAAGCATTAGGCAGTTACCTCTTTCCTGCAGCTCTTTGTGTGCTGGTGACATCCAGCACACATGAATGTCCACCAATACCCCGGCACATGCTCCTTTGAAATCTCTCCATCCAGATGTGCAGAAATCCGAGGTGGGTAGGGATGCTCAGCACTCCTCTTGGTGACACCAGCCTCCACCTTCACTCTGCACAGTGCTGCAGCAGCCGTGCAGGAGCTGGGCAGTGTCACCAATGCTCAGCAGAAGGTGCAGATGCACTGCAGTGCAGGATGCTCAGTGCCCTGCTTGCAGACTGTCCATCCTGAGCCTGGGACACACCAGTGTTAGTTAAGGCAACTGTCTAATTTAATCATCAACTATGTTCTGATCATCTTAGTTTCTTTTCCCTCCCCCAAAACAGTCCCTAGGTGTTCCTGGATCTCTGAAAAATGCTTTTGATCACCTGACGTCCCGTGACCCCAAGAAGTTCTGGACCTCTGGCCAGTGGATGACAGAGCGCAGGGGAGGCTCTGATGTTGGTACGTGTTCTGAGGTGGGAAGCAGCTGCAGCAGTGGGAACTGAGAAAATGAAGAGTGTGGGGAACTCATAAAGCCAGGTAGCTGATTTAGGAAACTTCAGCAGGTCATTCAGATCCTCTGCATAGCTCTGCTTTTTAACCAACAAAAGGCCCAACTTCTGTCCACAGACGCACGCAGCACACACAGGCACGTACAGAGCTGTGTTTCTTGCACAGATAACACACCAGTGTCTCACTCTATAATCTAAACCTTGAGCAGGACAGTCAGACCCATCCCAGCTGTGACTGAGAAAGCATTCTTGGCCTTCAACTTTTATTCCTTGGCTAATGTTAGTAATAGTGTGATGGGCCAGGAAACCTCAGAACTGCACTGTGGAGACAGAAATGTGGAAGGGGAGTCATCTGCATCTGATGAAGGTGCAGGTGGTTTCCTGGTGGAAGAAGTGAAAGGGTCAGCTCTGGAGTGAGAGATGTGCATCACTCCAGGACTCTTAGAGCACTGTTTGTTGATCTTGGCCATGGTAGCTCCTAAAGAAAGGGAGGCATTGGATTATCCATCGTGGTGCATTCTGCTTACAAAGCACTGCCATTACCAGCTGTTAGTCTGGAGCAATGGCTGGGAAGGCTGGCAGTTAAAAAGAGCATATTTCCTATTTAGTACTTAACCCTGGCTGCATTTCTTATCCAGGGTCAATGAAAGAGATTAGCAACTAATCCATACTCCATCTTGATAGCAAGAGGTGACTTAATAGAGCTGCTGCTTAAACCGAAAATCAGCATTGATCAGCACTGATTGATAGAGAAGTTCCCATAAAGCCAAGATGATCTTCTCTTTTCTTGCAGCTAACGGCACCGAGACAGTGGCCAGAAAGCAGCCAGATGGTACCTATCGTCTCTATGGCTTTAAATGGTTTACATCAGCTGCTGATTCTGATGTGACATTAACCCTGGCCAGGGTAGCAGATGCTGAAGGACAAGTAGAACAGGTCTGTTCGCTGGTGAAGGAGCAGGGACACTCTTTTTCTTCCTTGTTGCATTGTAATGAAATCCTCTTTGCATGCCTTTCAATGGCCCCAGGGTTCCAGCGGCCTGTCCCTGTTCTTCCTAAGGGTTCGAGATGAGGAGGGGAAGCTGAACAACATCCAAGTGCAAAGGCTGAAAGACAAGCTGGGCACGCGGCAGATGGCAACAGCAGAGCTATGGCTAGATGGAGCCAAAGCAGAGCTGGTACGTGAGGTTTCACCTTCCTCTTGGGACTGGGCTGCTCATGGGGATTTTGGCAGTGATATCAACTGAAAAAGTTCCTCTCTTCCACTTTTGTGGCTGGCTTAGAACAGAACACTGAACAAACGAGGCTGTTTATGGGACAGAGCTGAGAAAGCACAGGGAAAGATGGGAGGGAAGAAAGAAAGAAAGAAAGAAAAAAGTCATTTAAGGCTGGTCATTTCCAGCTGAGGGACAGTTGTGTGTAGCATGCAGTAGGATCAAGCAGCAGGGACCAGAACTGATCCTGCTGATGTGGTCTCCAAAGCCACCTCTCTGCTCGTGCCACAGACTTGGTTAAAATGAGACAGCCCTATTTTAAAGCAAGCAGATCTTTGTGGTGCCTGAGGACAGACAGATGGAGTGCACAGCCTGTATCTATCTGTCTGTTGACACAACTTTCATTTAGATGTGTGTCCACTTCCAAGGCTGTGTGAAAGGCTTACCTCAGCCTCTCTTCCATAATGCTTTCAGATCTCTGCAGAGGGTCGTGGAGTGGCCTCCATCTCCAACATGCTGAACATAACTCGGATCCACAATGTCATCGGTGCAGTAGCTTCCATGAGAAGGTGAAGGCAGCATGGATCCCCCCAGAGCTGAAGAACCAGCTTATTAGGACAAGGGGACTTTGCAATGCTCAGCATTGCAGATGATTGACATCTAATGCCTTTGCAGGCACAGGTCTGGAAGCCAGCAGCGTTGGAGAATGTTGGCCTGTGGCTGGGTGACCTAGGCTGGTGTGCTACAGCTTAGCAGGGTTCTTCCAGTGGGGGTGGCTGGAAGGGAAAGCTCAGAAGTGGAAGGTTGCTGGTCTAACTGCTTTCCCTGGCTGTTGTTCTCTCTAGGATGATCAGTCTGAGCAGGGAATACGCCCGTAGGCGAGTTGCCTTTGGGAAGCTCCTCAAGGATCATCCCCTACACATGCAGACAATAGCCCAGATGGAGGTAAGGCTTTTGGGAGCAGAGCTGAACCTGTTGGCAAGGAAATAGGGCAAAGATCCTCAGCTGCTGATAAGCACAGCCAGCCTGTCTCTGTGTGTAAGAGTCAGATGTAGAAGCTGTTCCTGCTACACTGAGATGTGTGCAGCAGGAGAATTGTTATATTCTAGTGGGATTTGATCTAATAATAGACCTATCTTCTCTGCTGGACTTCAGGTTATCTTAAACAACAATTACCTGGGAGCTATTCTGAGAGTTCTGTGCTGAAGTTCATGGCATGCACCTGCTGTGATATGCCATGACCTCTGCAGTTAGTCATTAGCATCAGAATCCATGCATGACACCACAGTCGCCTAAACTGCAGTTAACAGATTCTTCTCCAAGGTTGATACAGACTCATCCAACTTCCCTGGTAGCTCATGCACCAGAAGATGGGCTGTTCCCAGCAGGCTTGAAGAATTCCTGAGCAGTCACCATGTACTTTAGCTCCTGATAAGTTAGTCTTCATAGAATCATTAAGGTTGGAAAAGACCTCCAAGGTCATCAAATCCAACCATCAGCCCAACACCACCATGCCCACTAAACCATGTCCCTTCAAGGTAGTTTCATGGCACCTCAGCAGACCAGGCTGGGATCAGCCTGAGTCCAAGACCTTTGCCAGTGAAGCTGCTAACTTCTCTGCTTGCAGGTGCAGACTCGAGGGGCGTTTCTACTGATTATGGAGATTGTTCGTCTGCTTGGACTTGTAGAAACCAACATGGCAAGTGAGCAAGACCAGCTTCTCTTGAGACTGCTGATACCAGTCGCCAAACTGTACACTGGGAAGCAGGTATGGAATAACCAGTTTGATTAGCCCAGAGTGGGGCTGTGTGGCACATTAGTAACCCCAGAGCTGGAAAGAGGAGTGATGACCATGGCCAAGGAGAAGGTCAGTGATAGCCGGGGATGCCAGCAGTGACCTCTAGCCTGCAGCAGTTACCGCTCTGCACCGAGGCTGGACTTTGTGGGTAGAAGACTTTTCCCTTTGATCTCAAGGCCACAGATCAGCCATCTGATCAGAACAGACAGGGCCAGCACTGTCTGTGAACTCCTCCACACTCCACGGGAATGCTGCTGAGGCTGCCCCAAAACCAAGGTGGGGCACTGGTCCTTGGGGAATATCTTTCCCCTAGTTATGAATAAATAGAAGAGTAGGTGGTAACAGCACTAGCCTTCACTTCAGGGGTCTGTCCCTCTCCTAATTGCCCTCAGCTTAATTACACAGAAGCTGAAAGACTACAGGCAAGTGGAAGGTAAAGACTCTCCTGGACTAGAGACACTTACTCCTGTGTACCAAGCAAACCACAGGTTTATCCTTACCTAGAGAGGACTGTGTTGAGACAGACCCTCCCTGGATCTTCTCCCAAAGTCTGACTGCTTCTGCAGGTCCTCTCTCAGTGTTACTCAGTCTTCATTCCCTGGGCTGCTCCTCCTGCATATAATGAGCAACCTGCCTTAGGAAATCAGGGGGATTCAGGTGTCCCATCCCAGCAGGAACTGCTGAGTGATGTTAGAGGTTTCTGGCTGCTCTTTCCCCTTGTGCAATGTGGATCATGTCAGCTCTCTGTGTTCTGCAGGCTTCTGCTGTTGTGGTTGAGGCAATGGAGAGTTTTGGAGGACAAGGTTACATGGAGGACACAGGCTTGCCAGTCATAGTCCGTGATACGCTGGTAAGAAAGCAGCCACAGAAGCTTCTGTGGTGAAACCTCACCCAACCCTCCGTGGTTGCCTGCTAAAGATGTACTCAAGAGAAAACACAGTCCTCCCAGACTCACTCCAGGCATGGCAGCTCTTCCCTCGCTGTCTTACTGCTGAGCCCAGTCCTCCCCAGAGAGGGGACATGGTTTGTTCCTGGTGCTGGGGTTGTTTCCTGGCTCAGTCATGGAGCTGGGCTCGTAGCTCTCATCACCACTCCTCCTTTCCACTTGTGGTGAGGCAAGACATCTCTGGAGATTTCCTTGACATCCCTTAGCTCTGCCCCATGTCTTTGTTTCCTCATATTCCCCTTTATTGCAGTGGCTCCAAAAGGCTCCTTCATCCTCTTCCACAGTCTCTTCTACCCTGCAGGTGCTGTCCATATGGGAGGGAACAACAAATATCCTGTCACTTGATGTCCTGCGATCCCTCACCAAGAGTCAAGGACAGGTGATGACTGTGTTCTGCTCCACAGTGCAGGTGAGCTCACATCCAAAGCACTGGTCAGCCTGATTTGCCCACCTTGGCAGAGTCTTATTTGGCATTAATGTTCCTGGTTGGGACTGGCAGGGGATGTGACCAAACTGAAAACTTTAGACAAGTATTCAGAAGGTGTCTTACAATTCTGCTCTTGAAATAGCACTTACAAAAGCAGAACGCACAGGCAGAGCTCATTTTGGGATCCTTGTGTACTGCAAAAAAATGCAGATACTTTCATCTCAGCAGTGAAGAGTTTTGCATTGTCAGGGTTCCTCATGACAGGTACCAATATAAGGATATTTTTAATGTGAGAGAGTCACCTTCCTGAATCCCAAATAATTTTGTGGGTTTGTTTCTTAACTGGAAAAACACCACAAGACTTCTGAACGTTAAACCTTCACAAGGGCTACCTACTGCATTATCATTTTCTATTTTTATTCCCGCTGAAAAGATGGAAAAGGCTACAGGAATTCCACTGCTGCCTCTTTAGATTTGCTGTTCTCTGGCTTTACCTACAGGCTGCTCTTTTAAAGGTGCTCAGATGACAGGCAGACAGGGAGAGTTCAAAGCAGCTCAGAATTTCACGAAGGTAGATGAGGGCTGGCTTGATATGTCCCATGAAGGGAGACAGGAACCAGCCTGAAAGGCATGATCAGCATATCAAAGGGCATTCTCTCAGAGATGAGATTATTAATCCAGATAGAACAATCCAGATTACATTAACCCCAATACAGTGAGGCAACCCTGGGCATCTGGATGCTAGATTTGATGATGTGTAGCCTTCACTCTCATCCAGATTCCATGAGAAGCAAAAGGTCTGGGTCACTGCGTTCCCTGCTGCAGTGACATCTGGATCATTGAATCACAGACTGGTTTGGGTTGGAAGGGACCTTAAAGCTCATCCAGTTCCAACCCCCCTGCCAGCAGCAGGGACACCTTCCACTAGACCAGGTTGCTCAAAGCCTCACCCAGCCTGGCCTTCAACCCTCCCAGGGAGGAGCAGCCACAGCTTCTCTGCCCAACCTGGGACACCGGCTCACCACCCGCACACCAAATAATTTCTTCCTCACATCTCATCTCCATCTCCCCTCTGCCACTTTCAAGCCATCACCCCTTGTTCTGTCACTCCCTGCCCTTGGCCAAAGTCCCTCCCCAGCCTTCCTGGAGCCCCTTCAGGTACTGGGAGGCCACTGGAAGGTCTCCCCGGAGCCTTCTCTTCTCCAGGCTGAACAGCCCCAACTCTCTCAGCCTGTCCTCACAGCAGAGCTGCTCCAGCCCTCGCATCATCCTCGTGGCCTCCTCTGCTCTGGCTCCAGTAGGTCCATGTCCTTCTGCTGTTGGGGGCCTCAGCATTAGAAGGTCTTTCAAAGTTGGATAGGTCTTTCAAAAACGCATGAGCGAGAGCCTGACTCCTCCTAAACAGTGGCGGCAGTTGGCAACTTCTGTTACATTTCAAATCCCCAACTCACCTGTATTCTGTGACCTCCAGAGATGAGTGTCTTCTTACCATCTTCTCAGATTACTTTTGAGAAAGGAAAAATACCTCAAAAGATTTGACTACTAAAGAAGAAACCCAAATCTGCTCATAAGCAGGACAGCGTGCACCTGCTAATTAAAAAGCCAACTGGTCCAGCTGCTGATAAAAAAAAGCAGCTTAGTCTGCCACTGAAGGTACTGGAGTGGAGGAGGGAAGGAGTGGGTGGCAGGCTCTGAAAATAACTTGGGGAGAAGCAGCCTCCACACACTTACACTCATTTAAACAAATACCCCATGAAGGTGCCATACTGCAGCCCTGGGAGCACCACACGGCTGTAGCTGAGAGGGTCCTTCCAGCTTCTTAACAACTGGATAATCAGAGAAGCATTAAAGAACACAGCAACGTGGCTGAGAGCAGGTACCTGCACAGCCAGAACACTCAGGGTTGAGATTTATTAATTAACAAGCTCATCGTTGCTCTTGCACTCCCACAAATCATGCTGTACAGGAGACTGGAGGGTGAACAAGCGAGCAGTGGCTTTAAAGGTCTCCAGATTCCAGTAAGTGCCATTGCAGCTGCTGTTCATGTCACACTGAAGTTGCCTCTATGTCCACAGAGCATGGAATGAGCAGTGTTGATGTCCTGATTCTGGGTGTAATGGATCACACTCAGCAAATTTAACCCAGGCATGTCAAAACTTTTCCCTTCGGCAGGCAGGCAGTGGCAAGGCAGACTGGGAGGTATTTCTGCAGAGCACCTCCGCAGCATTGGGCAGGGACGCGCTGTGCTTCTACACCAGAATCAGGGTTTCACTCACAGGTGATAAACAACCTCTTTTTGAGCTCCAGGTGTCCAAATTAGAATCACAGAATCATAGAATTATTTGGTTGGAAAAGACCTTTGAGATCATCAAGTCCAACGGTACCTGTCCACTGCTAAACCAGATCTCTGAGCACCTCATCTACCTGTCTTTTAAACACCTCCAGAGATGGGGACGCCACCACCTCCCTGGGCAGCCTGTTCCAGTGCCTGAGAACCCTTTCAGTGAAGAAATTCTTCCTCACATCCCATCTGAACCTCCCTTGGTGCAAATTGAGGCCATTTCCTCTTGTTCTATCACTAGTTACCTGGGAGAAAAAACACACACCTGCCTCTCTCCACCCTCCTTTCAGGTAGTTCATTGATAAGGTCTCCCCTCAGCCTCCTCTTCTCTAGGCTAAACAACCCAAATTCTTTTGGTCTCTGGGAGTCTGGCTCATTTTGAAACATCCTTCCCATTCTCATCTAGCAAGGAAATCATTTAGCCCTTCATAAAGGGATTTTTACTGCTCCAATCCATTTCCTTTTTATTGATGCACACAAAACTAGTACAATTGATTTTACATTTGTCCATCAAGGGTCTCGGTTGGCAGGATTTGTGCCCAAGGACAGGCTGCTTTGGAGAAAGCAGCATTAGTATGTTGTTAGTACAGCACTTTGTTCTTTGAAGGTCATGTCTCGGGGTAACTCCCCTCTGCCACCTATTTTTGCTTTTATCAGTTGCCTCTACTAATGGTGGGACACCCAGCACTGGTGGATGGGGCTGTGATCTGGGAGCAGGAACCCAGTGTCATAATTATCCTCAGGAAGAGGGAAATACAGAGACCTTCCTCCTCCTCCTTGCACAATGTGATCATAAGAAGCTGAATTTTTAGGGTTCTTGATACAAACCAGCCTGTCCAGAGGTAATTAGTCTCAGGAGCATGCATGGTGGGAAGAGCAAGTGTGAGAGACAGTCCTGGATTCCAGCTCAGCTGTGCTGGGAGGATGCTGGTTGATACTGCACAGGGGCACTCATTTCAGGTTTTACTAAAAATTTATTAGCTGGAATTTTGAGCCAGAGAATTGGGTGTACTTTAGAATTCAATTACAAGCTCAAAAGTGACTCTAAAATAGCACCAGGGAATTATTTGATTATTGCATTTTGGTCACTTCAGGTTCAATTTGGTCACATCACAGCACAGTTGTGTTTCTGAATGCCAGCCCCGTAAGCATCTTGCAGAGCTCAGAATCAACTATCTCATGCATCAAGAAAAACTGCGCGGGGCTGAAACTCTAGCCATAAATCAGACCTACAATCTAAGACATGTATTTTCAGGTCCTTTTCAGACCATAACCACAATTTCAACCCAGCAGGAAATAAATCTAGGTTAGAAAATGAGACTACGTGGTTGCTTCAAACATTAATATGAGACTTGTGCTTCTAGCCCTGCTCTGGATGTTGTAGCTGTTGCTGTGTTTTTAAATACTCATGATTATTCTTCGAGTAAAAAACATTCTGACAGTCTTGCTTGTTAGCTACTGAGAGCAAACAAATGAGCAGCATCTTAAAATTCCCAGTGAAAACCGAAAGAATTGGAAATATTGGAGCTCTAAAGCTCTTCTGCTCTTTGAAGATTTCAACCAGAAAAGAAGCTGTGAGAGCGATGCCATGTGCATGTGCCTCCTCAGTTACACCCGACAGGAACTGGAGCAGATCAACATGCAGGAGAGGAAACAGGAGCTGCTTCTGCCTCAAACATTGTCCCTGAAGCAGCTCTCCAGCCTCTGACTCTCAAATGCAGGGGAGGGTGTGGAAAAACCCAGCTGGATCTTGCAGAAAATTTAGTGCTTTAGGTTGGGAAAAGAATGAGTGTGATCTGAAAAAAAAAGTGTAAATTATTGAAGAGCAGAGAGAATAGAATCATAGAGTCATATTGGAAGGGACCTTAAAGCTCATCCAGTT